GGGGTGGCTTTTACATAACCTCTCTTGTGGTCTGGTTTTCCCGGACCCAGGCTTCCCTTCTCCTCCTCCCCCTCAGCCTCGTCCCTTCCTTACTCCTTTTGATCCGGACTCCTTCGATTCCCCAGTGTGTGTGTGTGTGTGTGTGTGTGTCTGTGCTTCTTCAATTTGTCGCCGTGGTCAGTCCCTGCTTCACAACTCTTGCAAAGTTCCTGATTTTGGATTGTCTCCGTACAGCTGGACTTACTTAGCTCGCCGGAGAAAGGGTACCAAACGTAGCCCAACTCCACCACTAGTTCTAGTCTCTGTTCCCTGCTTTTGCTCTAGTCTGGAGACCCGCAGGGATTAGAATCAGAACTCGGTTTCCCAGTTCTGGGCTCAGGAGCTTCCACTTTTTTCCCCAGGCGCCCGCTAGGGAGAGATGCAGGGGGAGGGGCTTCGGGCTGGGCTTCCAGCTGCAAACGCGTCAGGCGCCGAGGCGGGCGGGATTTCTGCCTCCTGGGGACAGGACCTAGGCTGCGCGCGACCTGGGGACGTGGTGACTAGCTTTCGGCCTGCCGACCTCGAAGGGTGGGACCCCCTCTGGCCTTCAGTGTGCTGCGTTTGGGTTAAAGGTAGCTGACGGGAAAGTGGCAATTCTAGACGAAGGGCTGACAAGCTGGATAGGTGACTCAAAGGTGAGGCTTAGCGACAGTCGGGCCCCGAATGTTGGGTTGATCGCAGGCATCAGCCTTGGGGAGGAGTGGTGGAGGGGCTCTTGTGTGATTGTACTCGGCGTGGAATGAGTGCAGATTCGGGGCAAGCAGCTTTTCCGGACCGCATTCTGATCCCAGCCCTACTGGTGCATGCTTCCCCGCCCTCCTGTAGTTTAATGTCTTTTTCTTTTGTTTTAAACTGAAGCACGAAATACGAGTTGGGATTGTTAGATGGTAGGAGGGGATAAAGGAAAGTCTCGGACTTGGGGAGTTCCCTCCCCGGCCTTCTATTTCAATTCCCTCCCTCCCGGAAGGAAGAGAAGCTAGAGGTAGGAGCGGGGGTGCCCAGGGACAGGGCAACAAAGGGGCAAGGTGGGCACTCAAGACCAAATCCAACAGAAGGCTTGGTCCAGCCTTCAGCGCAGGCGGCTGCGGGCGACGCTGATTCTGGCCTATAGGAGGCGCTGTTGCTCGTCTGTAACCCTAAACCTGGGACTCTTCTCCCTCCTCCCTGCCCAGCGTCCTCCCAGGTCGCAGTTGAAAACAATGCAAACGCTGAGTACAGAGCCTGGGGCGCGGCGGCCTCCTGAGCCCTGAGCTCGGAGGACCAGGGACTTGGGATCCCGGGGCAGATCGCGTCGCCTCGTATCTGGTGGCGATCTTGCGGCGGGGGAGCTCGAGGAAGGCAAAGGGAGCCAGGGGGTTCTGGGTGTGGGTGTGTGGCTGTGTGTTCTTCGGTGTGTGGGGGAGTGGGGGGGTGTGGGGGGGTAGGTGTGCGTGTGTGTGTGTGTGTGTGTGTGTGCGTGCGTGCGTGCGTGTGTGTGTGTGTGTGTGTGTGTGTGT